CTGCAAAATCAGCAAGGGGTCAAATACTTATTTCCCCCACTGTACATCTGTCTTGTTCCATACTTATCTCTGTCTTGTTCCATACTTATCTCCGTCTCGGCCTCTACGGTGCGTTGCAGGGGACGCATACCGGCAATTTGTCTCAGATTTTGTGTCCACGTACAAACACTAGCGCTTGGAACTCCAAAATCCTCCTGGAGCCATTCTGAGGATAGCAGGGCTGGAGGACATTATTTACAGAGAGAAGGTAGATGAGGGGGAAATTCTACCTCCCCGACATGGTAAACATGCAGGTTTTGGGGGTCTTAGAGATCGTAGAGATGAGCTGCGTGTGGCTGCTCCAGGCCTGGACCACCAAAAAGAAAAAAGAATAGAGCATCCAGCAGCCAAAAGCTAAGAAAATGGAGAGGCTTTCCAGGATATGCTGAGAAGTGGAGAAGCCTGAGGTGAAGAAGGGAGATGTGGGCCGGAGCACCAAAAACTGACTAAAGCCACCAAGGCAGAGTTCTTGGAGGGTTTGAAATCACAGAAATAGGCGAGTATTTGCCTCATTTAGATTCAGGGTGGATAAAGTTCAAAGGTTTTTTAACACAACTGCTGAGAAATAGATTTTGCTTTGGTGCATTTTACAAAAAAAATCTGGGAATATTGCAGAAAGTGGGAACGTCGTCGGTCAGAAAGCTTTTATGGAGGTAGTGTTGGATGACTTTTCAAATTAAGATGGCCTCTTTTTTTCATTTTTGCGTTTTTTTCTTGCAGATTCTCCTTCACCCCAAAAGGAGGACCTGCTTCCAAAGACTTGGATTCCCGATTCTGCTAAAAATCAAGACCCATTTTTGTTTTCCTAGTCTCACAAATCTGAAAGTGTCAAATAACCCAGTGAGAAATACATGGCAGCCAACTCTGGTTTCACTTAAGTGCATTTTGGCTACTTGTACCATAGAATTTGCTCCGATTGACAGAAAAAAAGTGTTAATTCTAATGTCCCTTTTTCTTTATCTGATGTAGGGCGAGGAGCAAAAAGGGTGAGTACTCAGTCTGCTTTTTATCTTTATCTGTACAGTCTGAGTTCGTTTTTCTAGTTTCCGATTCACTTATTCATCCAGGAGGGAAGAATTCCTGAAAACTCAACACCGGTTTAGAACCAACGCTCTTAAGATCATCACTCAGATGGTGGAATACCACCGAGAAAAGCACCTGTGGAGGAGGTGGGTTAACCAACCCGGACCTGGCATCCTGTTCAAAGATTGATTCCCAGGCTGTTTCCCCCCCCAACAGCATCTTCTTTCTCTCCGAAAGAAATCTTCCCTGATGAAGAAAAGCTGGACAATCTGAGTCTGGACATGGAGGGATCTGCTCCGGTCCCTGAATCTGCGGAAACAGGAGAACTGGTAAAATCAAGAATCAAACCTGGGAGCATTTAGCTGTGTAAAAAACAGTTTGTGTAGTCCAGTGTTTTTCAACCTCTGTGCCTCGGTACACTAGTGTGCTGTTAGTGATGGTCAGGTGTAGAAAATCATCCTACTTCACCTCATTGGTCTAAAAATATTTTTTGATAATGAATTATTATCTGCAAATAATATGCCATTTTTGAATACCACTAGTGACTGGTGGCGTAATCATGTAATAATTCCTTATGACTAGATTTTGTATATAATTTTGCATATTGAAGTGGACATGTTAAGAGCAATTTGAAAGAAGAAATATAAAATATGATAAAAATAAATGTTTGTGTTTATTTGATTCCTATTCAAGACACTTAAGATAAGAATAAAATAAGAATAACTATAGTGTTACTATAGGCGGCTACAGATTTGTTTAACATTTTTGGTTGGTGGTGTGCCTCGAGATTCTTTCTATGAAAAAATGTACCTTGGCTCAAAAAAGGTTGAAAAACACTGGGGTAGTCAACCAGCAGATTAAAGCCTAGCGAACCCGGCCAAACAAAGGTGAAGCCTACTGATGTTAAAAAATAACATTTATTCTCATATTCTCCTGTTTCTGCACTCGAATCCTTCCTAAAACAGTCAGAGCTACAAACAAACAGACAAAACCAGCAATTGCACATAAAGTTTAATCCATTAAATAATCCAAAAGATGCTAAAGTCTGAATTAACCGTCATTTAAACATTAGCATAGAAAACAAACAAGAATTTAAGTTAGCAAAACACACATAACTCCATATAAAACTATTTTTGTAACATACCTTTTCCCACTTTTAGCCGGATGATTAATAAATGTGTGGTTAAATCTTTAAAGTTCTTAAATATTTGTTCTCTCCTTCACAGACTCGCTCCGTACAAAGTTAA